AGTCAAAATCATTGAGCAGAGATCACGGCAGTGATTTCAGAATTTTGTACAATGCTTGCAAGAAATGTGAGGACAGTGCAGTGAAAATAGTGTAGACATAGTTCTCAACACTGAAGATTCATCTAAAAGTCCAACTGCTGTTAAGAAAGGTAGTTAGTTAGTTAGTTAGTTAGTTAGTTAGTTAGTGAATGAATCCTTTGCTTCTGTGTTGTGGGTGATGCACAGTGGAAAAGTATGCCCTTTGCATGGCTCTGCTGTGAGAACAGATTGCTTTGCTCTTCAGAGAGTGAATTAATTAAATGTGTGTTCTTTTTCAGAGGACAACTTTGGGAAGGCTGGGAAGGCTAATTTCCTGCAACTGCTGGAACTCAATGAGGATATAAACTGGCCAGAACTTGAATCTTTGTACAGACTTAATGAAAGTGTGTATGATTTCAGACTGAAATATAACATTAGCCTGGAGGACTGGATAAACTTTGATGCTAAGGTAGATAGGATGTTTGCACTGTTATGCAATCTAAATAGACACAGTGACCTTCTGGGGAGTACTTTCATCCAACCTACGTATCCCCCCTTGAAGCCCACTGGTTTACCTGCTTTTGCTTTGGGTTATACCTCACTTGCTTCACAAGCTATTTTACTTCCACCGATCATTGCAGATACTGTTTCAAGAAATGGCAGCAGAGAAAACAAGGGTGACCCATTGAGAGACTTGGAATCCTAAGGGGCAAAACCACACAGACTATTTCAGTGGAAGCCAAATAGCCCCTCTGCAACTTCATCTACAGCTTTAAATGGCATTTGAAAGGACAGACAAATGGAAAAGGATCTCTTCCCCCACCTACAGATTAGGCAAGTCAAAATTAGACACAGTGGTAGAAAACTGCTACTGAGGCACGCAGGATATCGTGGATATTACTGAACAGATGCACAGACTCAGCACTAGCAGTCTTCAGGTGTTTGTCTACCACAGAAGCCAGTTTAGTTCACAGTTCACACATCTACCTTGGCTCATGAGGAAATTGAAATCTTCACTCAGTGAAACCAGCTTTCCAGCATGGTACTGTAAATATTCAGTGTCCTGTTTCAAAAGAAATCCAAGTTCAGAAGAATTGTTACTAAAGTGTTGGCATGCCCCAATTCCATTTCTGAAAAGTCACTCCATTGCATAATAAAAATTCAGAATTTAGCCATTTTTAAAAGCACTGCAAAATTAAAAGCAGTTTGTGTATGTCTTGAATTTTAACAAAGTTGGATTTGTATTAAGTCTTTGTGATTATATTGTATGTTCAAAAACCAAAATTACTACTATAAAAGAAAGCACTTGTTTACTTTTATATTTGTTTGTTTTAAACAATGGCTATTATTTTGTGACCAATAAAAATGCAGGTTTCAAAAAATAATAAAAAAAGGCACTTATGGGCACAGTTCAGCTGACAAGTAGGCATACTTTACCCAACACAGTGCTGGGTTTTGTGCCTCCTTAGAAAAAAGAAAAGAACATACTATTTGGAAGCAGTTTTAGGAACAGACTATCCAAACTCAAACTTACAAGTTTTCCTACAGCAAACATCACCTGCCCAAATTCACAAGTTGACCTCAATTTTCAACTTACTTGTTTTTCTTCCAATGTACTGCAGCATTTCAATCACAGAGAGAAATTGGTGTTTAGATATCTAATGTAGGTATGATATAGTATTTGCAATATAATGAGTCTTTAGATAGTGTAACACTTAGGCAGGAAACACCAGCTGGCCAAATACAAGATGGGAGACACCTGGTTTGCCAGTAGTACATGTGAAAAGGATCTAGGGGTCTTGGCGGACCACAAGCTGAACATGAGTCAACAGTGTGATGCAGCAGCAAAAAAAGCTAATGCTCTTCTAGGCTGCCTCAATAGGAGTATAGCATCTAGATCAAGGGAAGTAATAATTCTGCCTTGATCAGACCACTCCCAGAATACTGTGTCCAGTTCTGGGCACCACAATTTAAGGAGGATGTTGACAAGCTGGAACATGTGCAAAGGAGGGAAGCCCAGATGATCAAGGGTCTGGAAACAAAGCAGGCTGGACAGCAGGTTAATAAGGTGAAATTCCCTATCTTCTTGCATGCAGTGGCTGTATTCAGTTGGTTTTTACCTTTTTCATGGTGTTCCAATTTTAAAAGAAGTCTGAGGGTGGCAACAGCAACTGTTGTGTGGAGGGGGTAAAAGTTTCTGTTAGTTAAGAAGACAAATTTTTCCCACCCCTTTGGAAGTGAAGTAAGCCTGCAGTTTTACTTCTCCCATTTGGTTGTCTTGGAAAAGAGAACATCTACCAGCACAGACAACTTGAACATGAGTTTTGGTAACTGGAATGCAGCCTGTGTTAAGGCATAATGGGAACTTTTATCTCTTTGATTACCAAGAAGCTTATTAAGCCACAAAAACTCCCGTTTCAAATAGAAACCTTTATTTACATTATTAACAACATCCAAACAAAACAAAAACACAGAAAAACAAGACCATATGACCTACCCTTTTTTTTTAATGCCAGCCCACAGGAGGCTTTTTTTGTTATGTAAAGATCAATTATTACAAGCAATATTTAATGTAAACTAACTTTGGAGTCAATTCTCAATACTGCATGCCTTTCTCCTGAGATATTAAGAAATATTGCTCTCAGTTGAATGGTTTCATAATTGCTGCATTGCTGTCACATGACAGTCTGCTACTAAATTCGATGTGCTGACCTGTGCAACATTCAAATAGATTGTTTCTGTTGAAAAATGCTCCTCATTTATTAAGGCAGCCTTCCCCAGCTTGGAGCTGATGGGAGTTGTTGGTCTAAAACATCTGGATTGCACCAGGTTGGGGAAGGCTGAATTACAGGAAAAATCATGAAGACTGAAATTATGTATTTATCTCAACACACAAACTGGTTGGATAATCCATACAAAGGTGGGGAAGAATGGATTCACTACAAAGACAATTAGGTCAGAAGGCACCAATGCCAAACTAAGCTTATTGCCCCATTCAGCCATGTTTACTGTACTTATCCTACAAGCCCCCACCCCATATAATCACTCTTGGTACTAGAGATTGCATTGCAACAGAATGAGAGTTTTTAATCATGCACTTCTGATTCCAGGTATCATTTGAATCAGCACTGCTGAGAACGTTCCCGACAATGCAAATTCAAAACGCATTTTTATATATATATATAAAAAGGTGTGAATACTTTTATCAAGTTTGAACTAATATCTTTGGATTCAGCAAAAAAAAAAAAAGCAACTGGGAAAAGGAGTAACATTCTAAATAACAGATTAACCAATGAACGGCAGGTACCACCACATTTCAAAAACACAAACAGAATCAATCAAAATGAAAAGAAGGGCAATAAGTAGTTTATAAAAAGAGAGGTCACACTTCGCCAAAGTAATCAGAGCTATCATGATTATCATATTCGCCTATAAAAGTTAAAAGATAGTCTACTCCCATTTTATAGGCTTGTGGGTCTTTTACTATGAGGTTGTTATTGGTAGTATCAGAAAGAGGCTTCTGAGAAGCGGAAAATATTTTGTCACACTTTAATGGCAGACCTACAAAACCAAAAGATCTGATGTGCACAAAGGTGTGCATGTGTACAAAATACTCCCCTGTTGACTTTAATGTCTGAGCAAACTACACATCCATATGTGGAGGTTTGGAAGGACGTATACTTCAAACAACAACAACTCAAAGCTATTTTAAAACAATATGTAAATGGAAAAAATGCTTTAAAAAAACAACCCAAAAGGACGAGGAAGCACTTGTAACATGTGAGGCACACTATGTGCAAATCAGAACACAATTCCAGACCAGAGCCCAAATGTGTTTTAAGTACAAATAAGCTTTAGTGAAGTTAAATAAATAGCTGGTGGACTACACAGAACTGGCAATATTTATACCTGTACTCAGCATACTAGCAGTTTTGGGGGTAATCACAGACTGCTTGCCTTAGAACAAAATCTCACAGAATTACATGCTTCTGCAAAGTGGAGCTCAAATTTCATTACTAATCAAAATCACCAGTTCACATATTCAAGAGAACTATATTGAATGTGCAATGGGAATAGAAAAAAACTCACACACCACTTCAGACATTTTAGTCTACCTTTCTTAGAAAGATCCTGTTCTGAATCACTACAACTTGTTTAAAACTGGGAGGAATCAGTATGTATCTGCATTATTTGACACAGAGATGATTATGGTGTTTTTGACCTCCAGCTATTAAAAATTGCTTAGAAAATAAATATATTTGTTACCAGCAGAGCAATAAAATGTGATAACCAAAATCATTTGTGCCAATTAATCAGATGTCTCATCAGGTGTGCTTTCTGATAGACACTTAACACAAAAAACATGTTCAGAACACCACTGAGGCTTTCTTAAAAGTTAACCAAATGTCCTAGAGCAGAGGCTCTTTCATTTAAAAGACAGGTTATATTAAAAATTCCACAAATTGATTTGACAGCTAAAAAGAGCCTTTTTGTCATCTAATTGCCATCTATAAGAAAAAAGTAACAAAGTGCACACATAAGGTGTAGAGAAAATATTAAAAGACTGCTAAAATATGAACAAATGTTCTTTTAAAAAACCAATAAATGAAGTTCTAAATAAACTGTCGGAGACCAATGAAAATAAGATAAAGGCCATAGTTACCCAACTCCAAAACCATTTAAATTAAAAAAAAAAATCCTGTCTTGGACTAAACTCGAGTTTACAGAAATTATATTTGTTAAATATTTAGCTTCACGAACTCTGCAAAAATGAGTTAGTGGCCTACAAAAGTCATATATATATATATATATATATATAGTACAACATCTTAAGATCATATTTACAAAATGTATTCACAAAGAGAATCTCTCTTCATACTGCAATGCCTTGCCTTACATTTTATGACATTTAATGGCAAAAAAGATGTATGATTATTGCTCAAATGCCCATATTGGAGATATTATGTAACAGTAATTCAGACTGGGCTTGAAAGGGGGCAAGAACTTGCCTACTTTAATATCCATTGATTCATTATTATAGGTATTGCAGTAACCCACTACATACAGCATTTTATAAAGTGCACAAAACTGCACATCAATATGGAAATCTTTTATCATGATTATACATATTTAATCTCTGCATACCCCTTTGGCGCCAAAGAGCGTGATTCAGAGGCTGCAACAGCTCATTTGCATTGCCACTTGCACATCAGAGTTCCGACACCTGGGAGTGAGATTGAACAGCAGCATGAATGTTCAGAGCATTGTTTTGTTTTTAAATCAAGGCCAGAAACTACATTCTATCAGAGGCTCTTACTAGAGAACTCAAGACTATTACCAAGTATTTTCCAGGCACTTTGGTCTGCCTGTAGTTAAAGGGCTTTGGATAGCTACAGTAAATAGAACTGGTACACACCATGTCTATCCAACACATTTACTCAAATGGCGTTGCCAAACGCACTTTGCTAAAGGCAGAGTGCCAAAAAAAAAATCACCCTTTCTCTTTTCTTTTTGTACATTATACAGTGATACTTTGCTTCTACTCCTCCTCCTATCCCTCACCACCCAAAGGTCCATAACTCATGAAGTCACTTAGGACATCTTCACGGTAAAAAGAAGTGGTATTTCCATAAGGCTACATGTTGCCATGAAGTTCACGTGCACTTTTTTTTTTTTGTAATACTTAGTTCACCATCATCTATGGCATCAGCCTCTTAGGAGATCATAGCTGGAGATGTCAGCAGTATTTCTGCAGGAAAAAACACAACACACCAGTGAACAAACAACAGTGTAAGAGAGGCAAACTTCGTAACCCAGCAAAATTTTTGCTGGCATTTCTGAAGGTTAAGGAAAGAAGTATAAATAAATACTGCACTGGTACTGAAAATGCTTTTAAAAATATAGATTCATTTTAGGGGGAGGGGGATTGGGAGGAAATGGCCTGGTGTTGAGCTTAAGTTACTCTAAGGCTAGGATTGCAGAGCCTTGTGGATTCCTTGAGTAAATCTATTTCAGCAATGAACCTGGGATGTTCACAGGCAATAGCTGTTCCACAGCTAGCCTTACCGTTTTATGTAAAACCACCAAGAGAGAACCCAGTGGAGAAATAGGGGTTTGGGAGTTTGGGAGAAATAAGAAAGGGTGCAGAGTGAGCAAAAATGACAACCATGCAAGTAAAACTTTATTTTCTAAGCCACAAAAATGTTGAAAAGTTTCTGTTAATGTTTGCTAGGCACTGGCACTGGCAATTTTAGGGGCTGATATGCATATGGAGATCTAAAGAGCTACATGTGGAAAACCAACATTTATAGCCATCTTACCTGGTCTGGACCCATGGGCATTCCTGACATGGGCATAGTATTAATATTCATTTGTCCCATGTGACCACCATTGCTGTTCATGTGCATCATGTTGTAAGCTGCAGGGTTCCCTGAATGGCTGAACTGTTGCTGTGGAAAAGAACTAGAGGACACAAGAAAAAAATTAATGCTCCCAGTTCACAGATTCCTTCAGCCACTGGCATTTTACATAATTGGCATTACAACTATAAAACCTCGTAATCCTTTCCACAATCAGTTGTGGAGACAGTTGTCTCACCACAGTATCTTCAAGATCAGATGTGGTTATTTGTAAGGAGCTCACACCAACCTGTGGCTCTAGAGATTGACTAGTGCTATAAACAAATGAATGAGCCTATGATCAACAAATAAATAAATCTTTTGCTTTAAATAAAAAAGAAAGGAAATGCAAAAATGATGGATCAGTGTAAATCACTCCCATCCTAGGATCTCTTCATCCATTGTCAGAAAATGATTTGTTAACTTAAGCCTACCTTACTGAGTTTTTACCCCTGCACGTAACCAATCTGGAACAAATAGTTCAACATATATAGATTTGGACACTTTCATGTTCTTTTAATTTTTTTTAACAAACACATCATGTCTTAATCAGCTTGTTTAATTTTGTGAAACAAAAATAGACCCCATATCTTTGTGAAATCTGCAAATTTTAAGAATTTAAACAAATATTTTGAAATCTTCTATGAAACAAATGATTTTAGGTGGTTGTTTTTTGAAAGAATCTGGGTGCAAGATTGAAGACTTTTGCCGATTTAGACGATTGCCATGTTTTTTTTAAAAATCACACAATTCAGTCTGCTAAAAGCTATGTTCTTCAGTTCTCCACAGCCACAGGCTCCCCTCTGAAAACACTAGTTGAGATATTTGACTCTCACCTGCTCCTGGCCATATTTCCTGATGGCCAGCCCTTCATTTCAGGAGTTGGATACATTGGTGCAGCCTGAGGATGCTGCATCATGGGATTTTGTGTGGGTCCAATTCTTTGAGCCATCATGGAATTGGGTGGGCTTGATACCCTGCTAAAGGCAGGGTCTGGCTGCTGGGTCATTCCTTACAAAATAAATAAGATAACAGTTTGGTGGTTATGACACTTAGCTATTTTTTGCTGAAGGCACATGTGTCCTCTAATATTTACAGAATTTCACTCTTGTGGGTGCACAATTTCTCTTATCTGATTTAATTTAAAAAGCCCTGAAGCTTGTACCTTTGAAGCATGGTACAAATGAAAAGCCAGAAGGGAATAATTCTCATGGAGAGGCAATGGTGCCTGGGAGAACTGCACTTTGATTCCCAAGTTAATGTCAAATTTCCACCCTAAGGTGTTGTTACCAGCTTGCATTCATTCAAGACTCCCTCTCCTTGAAGGGGCCATAGCTCTGTAGTAGAGCATCTGCTTTGCATGAAGAAGGTCCTAGGTTCAATCACCAGCATCTCCAGGTAGAGCTGTGAGAGAACCCCACCTGACCTCATGGAGAGCCACTGTTAGCCAGTGTAAACATTAATGAGCTACTTGGACCAATGGTGCGACTCGGTATAAAGTAGCATCTTATGTTCCCCCATCATGCAAGTTTGCTTTTCTCAGTTTCACTTGGTCCCTAAACATAGTTACAAGGTACTATAACTTACTAATGTTTCATTGTTGTTGTTGTAATTTCAGATATAGCAAAGCAGAATAAAAAAAGATCAAATGCTTGCTTTTTGTTGCCAGACGCTTCCTGAACAAAAAAGTTTTCTTGCAGAATTAAGTAATGACTAAGACATAATTCAAATCAAAATTGAGAGAACCAATGAGCTGTGAAATTACTGTACAAAGTTCATGAATTTTACAACATTTCTGCACTGTGGCTGTTCTATTTTAGATCATTCGGCTACAGAATATGTCAAATCCCTCAAAACCCCACTTTCTCCCTCATTCCAAAATATTGTGCTTATACTCTTCTATAAAAATATTCTAGCTTTAATGAGTTTTTTTGTAATTTACTAAGCCCAACAGCAGCCACAGAAAATAGAAGCAAGTAAGATAAAAATGAAGTAAGTACCATAATTGGCTGGGTATGAAAATTGCTGGGATGGGACTGGAGCCATCGGAGGGCCTGTAACAGCACCATCCATGCTTCCTGAGGTGGTCACATTTGGGGGAGGACTGAAGGCTTGAGACTGCTGCTGTTGCTGCTGTATCATCATGGCCATCCTTTGTTGTCGGATGTGGTGACTTATTATCTCCCTGTTTCGCTGCGCCACCATCTGAGCATTAAGGAAGCCTTGCTGCTAGCACCCAAAGAGGATTGACAAAAAGCACATTAAAGAATTCAGAGCAAGAATTATTAAGTTGACAAGAAAAAATATATATATCTTAAGAGTTTTATGTCCATGAGCAGCACGGGCATTTATATTAAAAAGCACAATACAGTCTATTTTTCTCCCATTAATGAAATAGTAGAATAGAACAGTAAGAAAATGCACATTTATTCTGCAGTAATAAGTAGCAGAGTGTATAGTAACTGTGGGGAACCACCTTCGGCCCTCCAGATGTTGCCCCACTGGCCTTGCTTGCAGCAACATTTGCAGGGTCAAAGTTTTCCCACATCTGGTCTACAGCCTATATACCAACAGCAAGCTTATTCTCTTTGGGTCTACCCTTACGCAGATATCCATGCACAAGTTATCAGCAGCTTGGGGAATCCCCAAAGTTTGTCTAAGTTAAAAAGAAAAGGTAAAGGGGGGACGGGACCAAAAACGACCTAGCAAACAGAATGCTGGCTTGATGGCTATTGGAGTGGTGAAGGTGGTGGAATGGAAAACAGGAAGACGGAGGTGGCATGGAAGGGAATGGAGCATCCTGGAACAGATACTGGCTGGGTGGCTAAAACCCCAAACAGCAGCACTCCACACTGAAACATTTTGTTGCAGGTCTCACTTTGTGTAGCTTGAACATTCAGCAGGTACTGTGGCTTATATCCAATGTGGCACTAAGCAACTTTTCTGTCAGTGCAAAAATTTATGATTGCACAATGAGACCTTCTCTCCCCCCCCCCCTGGAATGTGTCCTTCCCAAATCTGCTCCAAATGGTTGGGGAAACCAGCAGAAAATATTAAGGGGGTGCACAAGAGGAAAGTCCCATTGCACAGGCATAATAAATATTTGTACTGACAGGACGGTTACTTAAAGCTAAATTAGATACAAGTAACTGAATCCATACTTGCCAGACTAGCATTGCTCAACAGTTTCAATCCCCAGATTGGTTCTGGAATACAATGGTACCTTGGGTTAACAACTTAATTCGTTCCGAAGGTCTGTTCTTAACCTGAGGTACCACTTTAGCTAATGGAGCCTCCCGCTGCTGCCACCGCACGATTTCTGTTCTCATCCTGAAGCAAAGTTCTTAACCCGAGGTACTATTTCTGAGTTAGTGGAGTCTGTAACCTGAAGCGTATGTAACCCGAAGTACCACTGTACTTTTCTACGATTGCATTTGAGATCCAATGCCTCACCCATGTGAACAGGAATTGCAACAATGGTAAAACAGATTATTGTAATTCCTAATCAAAAATATTGACATTATTTAGGATTACATAAATAGTGTTTCTTCACCAGTCATATGCCCCAACTGATGTCTAATAATGACATGATTCATGTAGAATCGTCTTTTGGTTTATGGTTATGTTCTATTGGACTTTGATCCATTAGATAAAAATATGTGTGTCTGCTTTAGTGTTTTAAAAGATGTATGAAGGAGGGAGAAAAGTAACAGAAAGCAGAACTGGGAGAGGTAAAATAACAGCAGGAAGTGGGAGGCTACTGTATAACCTGATTAGTAATACTTACTTGTGATCCCATTTGTGGGGGCATAACAGGTCTCATCACTGATGCACTACCAGGGTTGGGGTTCTCCATTTTTATATCAAGTGTTTGACGAGTCTGATTCAAAAACTTAAGAAACAGAAAGCAACAGTGTGTAACAGAACGATGTCAAAATACATCAAACAGGTTTCTATAAAACCCATGCTACACTACAAACCTAGGCAAAAGTAATAATTAAAAAGAAGCTACTTCACTCAGTGTGGCTTATTAAGTGCGCTGAAACACAACGTTTGACTTCACGCCCAAAGGCGCACTCCTCCATTGTCTCCAAGGCAGAAGGATGCCAACAAGGGCCTTAAATATACAAACCTAATCATTAACTTTCATACTGATACTTAATAGTGCAATTCAGAAAACAACTGTGCCACTGTTTTCATCAGTTTTCATAAAACATCAGTTTTCATCAAACAAATAATCTGTCTAGTCCAGCAGTATTTAATCTCAGAAATGACATTACCAAACTGAAAATAAAGACTACAATGATGAGGAATTGCAGGCCTGCTTCACATGTCATGGCAAGCCAAATTATGGACTATCAGAACCATGCAAACATGTGGATTCCTGGGGAGCTCACAGCACCTTTCCTCCTCTCTTGTCTTTTTTATTCCTGCATTATCATTAGCCAAGGTTTGTGCTCTAACCATGAGCTGTAGCCAAAAGCTGTAGCTCCATTTTAGGAGCCCTCATGGTTGCATAGTACCAGTTAAGTCATAGTTTGGGCAACATCTTGACATGTAAACTAAGTCTCTGTGTGTACCAAATATCAGGACAGGATAAAGCAAATGAATGTATGTGTTAATGGGTAAGTGATATATTTCATTTTCCTGCCCCTAGCAAAACCAAAAAGTTTCCCTCTTCAGAAGGGAACTGAAAAATTATAATTGTTTACCTGCTGCCCTTGAAGTCTCTGTTGGAGCTGCATCCGAAGTTGCTTTGGTGTGTTGGTTCTGGGCCTCATGACATTTGCTCGGGGATGCATACTTTGCATTGGAAAACTGCCCTGCTGATTCATCTGATTCATCACAGAGTTAAAGGCTGCCTGTTGGCCTTGCACGCTACTAAAACCCCCTGGCAGGGGAGCTCCCTGGCCCTGGTATGGCTGACCATATACTGGAGGCTTCTGGTCAATCATTACAGTAGATTCTTGGCCATGAAATGATTCTTGCTTGGGTTCCAAAGCTTGCCCCTTAAAAAGAATATAGAACTTGCCAATATTTCACACTCTGCAATAGTATATTAAGAATATTTTATACAGGGGAATTTTATATTTGAAAATATGAGCTTTGTGTGTGTGTGTGTGTGTGTGTGTGTGTGTGTGTAGCCGGCAGTGTAAAAAACATAGTAAATGTTCAGGAGACACACCAGTAAGCACATGGTACAACAGTTATGGGACCCTATTTCACCATTTAACAGTTTAGGGATACACACAGGATTATCCAATAATCCAATGAAAATTGCCCAATTCAAAATTACATTGACAAAATCCATCTCCTATGAGCAAGTTCTGAGTCAGGTATATTAAGACTTCATCACTATAATATTCAGCAACTATTCTACAACTACCTTTCTAAAGAAGATGCCTGCACACATTAATTACAATGTAGTATTGTCACAAATTAAAAGGAAAATAAACAATTTTTAGATCAGGAGGCTGCTCTTGTTATGTTATAGGCAAACATTTTCTCACTATGATTTTTTTTAAAGGGGTACTGCAATATCATGTTTATAATCATATCAGGTCTGCATAATTTGTAATCCAGCAAATGTAATGCAGGTCACCAGAAGTTGGATAAATCTTCTGTTTTTACAGCCTTTTTAGGACTGCAAGAATACTTGGCAGGCCACAATACAGAGAAGGTGGGCTATGTTCAGCGTGAGTTGACTAGCAAGTTCTGGAGCCTATAATATATAAAATAAGTTCTTCTCACCCAAAAGAAGAATGTACAAAGTACTGAGGAAGAAATGTACTAGGGTTTTTATTCCCCCCCCCCCGCAAAAATACATTTTAAGAGCATACAGCAAACTGAAAAATCTGCACTTCAAGAGCACTGGCAACTTACTTGATTTACAAGATCAGGAATTCCTAAGGCCCTATCAATTTCTTCAAGGCTTGTGACATCTGTGTTACTCAGCAATGTATGCAATTGATCTAGAAGAGCCCTTTCATCACTTTGGCCATCAACATTTGGAGCAGCATACAGAAGATCATCCAAAGAATTCCTAACTAGTTGCCTAGGAAAACCAAGATGTAGCAACATTTAAGAATACTGGTCAAAGAGTAGATAAATTCTCATATCACACATAAATTGAAGTCTCCAGATAAGAATCATATCTTCCCAGTATACATAAGTGCAAAAATGAGATATGCCCAGTGTCATTTCACAAATGAGCAGGATTCTGGAAACTGAAAGGAGGACCCTCCATGTTAAAACTTTTATCACCTTTGATAGATCATTACTATCCAACAAATCCCCAATAGAATGTCAAAGACTAAGATGGTAAACAAATTACAAATATGATGTAAGCATTTTCTTTGATGAATCACAAACAAACAAATAATCTGTCTAGTCCAGCATTCTAGTTCAGATAGGGGAAGTCATATTCATAGCAGAGCCATTGAAATCAATGGACTTAACTAATTTTGTATTTAAATGAGTGTTTTTCCTGAATGATCAGAATGTTCTGATACCATTTGTAGATGAAAAATAGGCTGTCAGTTAAATAGCATATTACATTCTGAACCTTATTGTACCTGTTTTGTGAACCTCGAGGTCCTTGCTCCATGGACAGCATGTTGTCAGGCCATGCATTTGGATGGTTAGACGGACCTTGATGTGGCATAAGGATTCCCTCCCATACCAAGATTAATTTCATTTGGTCCTACAAAATGAAACAAACTAAATTTACTTTTAGAAAAGAGGTGAATTTTTGGAGCAGCAATCCAACAACACAGGGCAGTGTACAAAACAATGTATCACTATTATAAAACACAATGATAAAATATCTCAAAAAAACCACCATACAACTATTTTTAATATCAAAATCATTGGTCTTACTCTCACTTGAAGCCCTAAGTAAAAAATGTGTGGCATTACTTTCAGAATGTAAGGTTTCTATTCAAATGGGATGTAAAAGGGGAGAAAGCTTCTTAACAGGGTGTTTATGTGTGTTCAACTAATAGTAGTTCCTTCCACATCTTTGAACTGTTGTAGACATGACAGCACCAGGGTGCCCCCCCCCCATTAAACTCAAATAGCAGTAACAAGGCAGCTGAGATAGGGTTGCCATACGTCCAGATTTCCCCAAACATGTCCAGGAATCAAATGGCGAAAGCAGTGTCCATGAGGAATTTTGAAAGATCGGCAAAATGGCCAGGGGTTTTGTCAACAGAACCAGGAAGTGTGTCTGTTTTAGGATCGCTATTTGTGTTTTCCGGGTGAATTCTTGAATATGGCAACCCTAAGCTGAGAGGTAGTGGTCTAAATTGTTTATCACTATCACTGAATTTAAATGCTTCCTTTAAGTCTACCAGTATCCAGCAACCCACACTGGAGCACTAGTTGCCCAGAACATGGTACAGATCACTGTGCAAACAGCCTAAAGCTTCAAACTTTATTGCCAGTCAGTAGAACATGAGACTCTTAATCCCAGGGTTGTGGGTTTGAGCCCCATGTTGGGTGAAAGCTTCCTGCATTGCAGAAGGTTGAACTAGACGACCCTTGTAGTCCCTTCCAAATCTACGGTTCTATGATTCTACTATCTTACCTATGTGCAGTGCATAAGACACAAACTATTGTGGTGTCCAATTAAAAAAGCATAGTAAGAACTCACTCATATGGATCATCTGCTGTTGGAGCATGGATCTGGTGCCAGGCATACTATTTGACCTCATGGGTAAACCAGGCATGGGACCACCAACTGAAGATCTGGCAAGGGCTGGGTTGCAGTCTGGCCCTGGTCTTGGCATTGAAGCAGAACTAATAGGTTCCATCCTGCTCACTTTTGAGTTTTGTAGGCTCCAGTCACTTGCTGAATGCTGATTCATAGGCATATTTCTGTTAG